GCGCATCGAGGCACCACTTCTCCGTCCATCCTGGGGCCGAGTCCCACATACAGCAACTGGAGGGATGTGCAGCTATGACATACAACTGTCTACTGGGGCTTTGGGGGGAAAAAATAAAATAAATAAAATCTTTAAAAAAAAAAAAGATCAGAGTGTAGAGGAAAGGTAAGCTATTGCAATTTCATCCTACTCTGGTCAATAATCCAGAGTCCTGGAACAGTGTGATTACAGTAATATTCTTCTGGGTTCATTGTTTCTTCTGATCCCCAACAAGATTCACAGATCATCACTACAACAACCTATACTGAAGACCTACAGAGTTTTCCAGAATAGCAGGCATTGACTTGCTATGTGGAACTCTTTTCACTGTATTGAATGGGTAGTACAACAAAGGAATTTAGGTAGTCTTAGAATATTCGATTTTAAGAATTTCCTAATAGAGTCAGGATACTGCGTGGGTTGTGAAATCTCCTTGAAAGACCCGCAAAAATGGGTTCTCTTAACATTCTTGGGCAAGTATATTCCTGCTGAAGGAAGGAGAAGGGAAAGTGCCCACATTTATTGAGTGTATCCTATGTACAAGGCACTCTATGGGCCGAGTCATAATCATTACCTTAGTTTTGTGAGGTTCCATCGCTTTGCTGCACCGATAAAGACATTATGTTTCAGAGTGAAGAAATATCTGGCCCCAAAAGCCACAGTAAATGGTAGAGCAAGGATTTCAACTCACGGCCATGTGATTCTAAAAGCTATGAAGCTGTAAAGGTCCATTCCAGCCTTCACATGGATAATTCTTATTCTGAAAGGCCTCTCAAGAGAGGAGTGGTGGCAGATAGTTTTGGCATGATGTTAAAATCAGTATGTATCTGCTGGACAGATAGTAATAGTGTCTCTTCACCTTAGGTTTTAATCACGTGAATCACTTTGCTTCTGGCTCCAACCTACCTCTCCAGGCTTACCTTTTATCTCATGCACCATCTTGTCCACTGGAACTCTCCCCATTCAATAAACATTCCATGTCCCTCTATGGTTCTGAAGCTTTGCACATACTGTTCCATTTGCCTTCACTGCCTTTCTCCACTTTTTCTACATAAAAGCTCCTCCTCACCCTTCAAGATCCAGATGAAATATTGCCTCCCCCAAGTCACTCAGGAAAGCTTTTCATGATCTTGTCTGGGCTCCCATTACAGTTTGTTCCTAGCACTTTTCAAATTATGTTGCAATGAATATGTATATCCACCCCCTTCTCTAGTATTCTTTGAGTTTTCTGAAGACTAGGGCCATGTACTAGTGATTAAATTATACCTACTGTCTATCTTTGTGCCTGGAATACGGCATGTGATTAATGGATAAGAGAAAGGGTGAGTGAACAGATGAATAGGGGCTTTCTGGTCAAGGAGAAACTTGGGATCATCAAAGTGTTGAGCTCAGAGGAAAGAGATCTTAAGTATCACCATCTCCCTCCTATCCTCAGCATCTCTATTTTCTGACCTTTTTGCTACTTTAGCACCTCCCATTTTCATCTGTTAGCCTTCTGATTCCCTTCTAAACAGCGTCTCTAATCCTTAACTCATTTATAAATTCATATCATAGCTTATCTCAAAACTGATTATTTCCATAAGTGCATCAACACAGGACTGTTGTGATTATTACTTTGCTTTCACAAATATCTTGAAAATCCTGCTAAAGTTTTGCTGTTGTTTAACGGGGGATGGAGATATTTTCTTTGCTGTAAAAGCAGTACGGTCCCTCATGCAAGAGAAAAGTATGTAACATCAGAAGGCCTGAGAAAAAAACCTGCCTTTACAACTTTTTTAAGAACTGTATAGAAGTTGTGCCCAGGCTGAAGGTACCCAGCCAATATGGTGTGTATGGGCTGAAATCCAGTGGGCATTCTGTTTGCCAAATCTTTAGCTGCAACCACCCAGAATGTGCCTTCCTAAATCACACGAAGGCAAAGTATAGGGCAGCAGGCAAGAAGGCTGTTTTAAACTGGTAAAATTACTTAATTTCTCAAGCCTCTCTCTTTTTTCTAAATGTAGATAACAATACCCAGTCTACTCTATGGGTTGATTAATTCCTTCATTCATTTATTCAGTCATTCTAAAACCTTACTGAGGATCCAGCATAGTGCCTTAGAGCTTGTGATTTGGAATCACACATCAATAAATGACCACATTTTAATATTATTATTTTTTAGCAGTTCATCTGAGGTGGGTTGAAATTTCCCAAATTACAGGAAAGAAATCATCAATAGTGAATATATGTATATAGTCACAAAACAACATAACTGGAACATAGCCCTTGATTTACTCACCTCAAGAAAGCTCACTAGTATATTCAATACCCAATCATAGATACCGACTCCCACATCTTTGGGTAATTTCTCTTCTGCTCACACTTCTCAGATCTCATCTGCTCCAAGACAATGGCTACAACAAGTCTTCTCATATTTTGGGTAGAGCATGAGTTGTGAACAGGCCCATTTGTGGGGAACATGCAGTCTTTGCCCTTGTCCTGGGAGAGAGCAGCTTTGGAGTGGAGAATGTTCGCATGAAGTCACTCAGATTCCCCTTCACCCACAGGGAGAAGCAGAGGGTTATTTTTCCACTGCAATTCATTCTATTCTTTGGGAAGTTTCACCATTTGAAAGCTCATCCTCATACTGAGATTTTTTCCTATAATACTTTCAGCTGAGCTTCAGCCTAAACTCTCTCTCTCTGTCCACTCTCCCTTCCAAACCTGCTCATCGTCCTGGCTCCTGTATCCTGTAATGGATATCACCACCCCGTTATCAAAGCCAGATATCCAAAAGTTAGTTTAAACTCCTTCATCCTGTTTACTCATCGAGTCACTTATCAAATATTATAAATTATGTTTCCTAGATATCCTTAACACTTATCCTCTCTTCTCTATTCCTGTTCTCAATGCCTTGTTTAGGCCTTCAACATGTTCCCTGGACTCCTTCCTTCATTTTGAAGGACTCTTCTTGATTTCATCCTTCACTTAACTGCCTCGCTGGGCTTTCAGAAAAGCAGCATCTCCTCATGGCCCATTTCCACCTGTCCGCACTTTGGCATTTCTCTCTCTACTCCCCTACCTATTTTTCAACCTGAATAGTCGTTAAAATGAGAATTGGATTAATTAAGACATTTTGACAACCCTGAGGAGACGTAATTAGCACTGATTATTAATTTCCTTTCACTAACAGCTAGAAACCTGGGTGGATTTTGTTGTGATGATTTTGGGTGGGAAGGGATGCTGTGCTAGAGAAGTGTCATGTGTGGCAGAAGGAGAGGAAAACATACAGTGAGGGTAAGATGCAGATTCCTGAGCTCAGGATCCAAGATCCTTTCTCCCTCTCCTCCACTTTTCTCTTTCCTTTCTCTCCCCTCCATTCATCTTCTCCTCCTCCTCCTCCACTTCTCATCCTCAGGCCATGGCAGTCACTGACATTAACCGAGTCCATAATATTTGCCAATATTGGGCTAAGACATAGTTGGGCATGGGTGTTAGCCCAAGGCCAATCTACCTCAGCAAAAAGAGGAGGATTGGCAACGGATGTTAGCTCAGGGCTAATCTTCCTCAACAAAAAAAGAAAAAAGAGTTAACAAAAAAACAAACTTCTCACTATTTTACACATGTGCTCCTTTATCCCTTTCACCCTCCCCCCACCCCTTCACCTCTTGTAACCACCTACCTGCTGTCCTTATCTACTGGTGGTGAACATGATTCAGTCCACACAGAAACTGAAATACAATAATGTACACCTGAAATTTACATAATATAACAAGCCAAAGTGACATCAATAAAATAATTTAAAGGCAAAAGAAATATGTATGCAAGTGACTCAAACAAAACTGCAATTGTTGTGTATATGTTATAATATTGTACTTTATAAAAAATAAACTTTGCTTAAGTTCCAGTATATCTGGGAAAAAAAATCTTGTGGCTAACTACTCATGTGCATTTCCTGTCATCAAATGCAGTGTAATCTTCATTTTCTTGATTGCAACATAGCCCATCTTATGGATATATTGTGATCTATCTAATCAGTTCTTGGACTAATAGGTTGTTTCTGGCTTTCCTGGAGTGAGCACTTCCAGGTGGGTAGACCTCGCCTAGAGTCTAGTTATTAGCAATGTGTCATTAGTTTTACATCATATAGTTTGAAAACAATCAGATAACTCACATGTGCAATAACAGGAGCTGATGTGCCATTTTTGTTTTATGGACTTATTTTTCTCAGTAAAGTTCTTTGGAGAAGATTCCAATTCATCTCAGGGGAAGTAAGTAATAATAAAACACAAGAGCTGCATCTTTTGAGTATTTAATCTGGGCCAAGCACCACAGGGAGCACTTTATTTTATATCCACTGACTGTTACAACAATTCTAAGATGAAGGTATGATTATTCCCACTTTCCACACGAAGGACCCAAAGCTCTAAGAGCTTCAGCAACCTCCTTAGGACATTCCTAGTAAGCGCTGGAGCCCAGATGCAAACCAGACCTGTTTCATTCCCAAACAAGTATTCTTAATCAATAGGCTGGAACCCTAACAAGGGTTTTAGAATGGCTGACTACATGAGTGAATGAAATAATGACCATACGGGACAGACTACTTAGGTATCACTTTTCACCTTTTATGAGGAGGATGGAGGCTTGGAGAATAGTTTCTGTGTAAGTAAGAAAAGGGTGCCCCTTCCGGGCAGGTGCAGCCGTGGGTCCAGGGCTGGCACACAGAGACCATACTTTGGTCCATATTTGCCTTTCACGGCGCAACCTGTAAACACATCTTAAGTTGTAGAGTAAGCATTGGACCTCAGGTCCTCCGACTTTATGTTCTGCTACCCTTCACTAGAAAGCATGATGCTTCTCCACCCCTCATGGACTCCTCTATTCCCAATCAGATGTCATCAAATATAATCAGATTTCTAAGATGGTGGTAAACAAGAAGTTAAATCACATCTCTGAGGTGATGAATGCCAGTGGTATGAATAACAATAACTACAATTTAATAAAGCTTTATTAAGTGTCTGACATTGTGTTAAGCACTTTGTAAGCATTAGTTTTATTTACCATAAACCAGTTAGATAAGTAAGTCATTCCCATTTTGCAGATGATGAAGCTGAGGTTCAGGGCATTTCAATAAGTTTCCCAGGTTCACATAACAGATTCCCAAGCTCTGGCTCCCCATACTCTGAGTAGCCATGGAGTATGGTGGCTGTCACAATTCTCCCGGCACCTTCCCATTCTTCTTGAGCCATTTTCCTTTGGAACACATTTTCTCTGGTCACTATTGGGTTTACTTTCCTAAAGTCTAAGGTATACGGCCGACCATGCTGAGAATTTTCCTTCTAAAAATACGAATCCTAAGATGGCATGGATATTTTTCCCTAAGGTTCTGATGATTGCTATTTTGTTAATCAATTCCTTCTTGTTGGCTAATCTTGGATGCAGAACCACGATCTTTTCCTAACTTCTGGGAGATAAAAGTCATCATAAAATTACAGATTTATCACCTGAGCTGCCTCAAGAGGAGTGAGTCTATGAGTTATTTTCATGGTGGTTGAAGGTCTGTGTCTCTGCCAACATATCCTGAGCTAATTCTCTGACTTGTGTTAGAAAAGCATTATCCACGTTATCTCTGAGTTGTGGGAATGAGGGGCTGCACTAGATAGGGATTTGTAGTATTTTTTTCTTTTTATTTCTGTTCATCTCTCTCCTATTATTTGTGCACAAACTCTTTCCACCTTGCTGCTTCTACCCTCAGTTCCCTGGATTCCTACACAGCAGGTATCTTCCCGACACACACAATACTCCCATCCCTTGCTACAAGCTCATGCTCATTTTCCCAAGAAAAGGTTGAACTTTGTTTAAAAAATATCATATATCTGACAGAAGTGGTGAGAATGTAGCAGGGTATGTTCATAAAGGAATTCATCTCACTGCACCATCAAGACAGGAAGTTAGTAGAAGAAGAACCCGGTCAGAGAAGGGAGATGAGAAATTAGGAGAAAAACACGTTGATAGTATCAAAAGAAAAAACTTGGTTACTTTGCAAATTTTCCAGTTGCTTGCTTATTCTGTTATTATTAGCACAGTACCATATACAGAGTGGTGCTTAGTGAATCAATGTTTTCAAACCAGTTGGAGAATTTAAATACTAAACAGTGAAAACAACAAAGGCAACAAAGTAAGAAAAGTTTGGCTTTAAATGTCTGCTCCACCACATATTAATTTTCTGATCTTGGGTGACTTATTTAGCTCTTCTTATTCACTATTTCTTTATCTGTACAATGTATAGAATAAAATTTCTAATTGAGATAAAAGAAACTTCCCCATAAAATACTTTAGAAGGGATTCCTAAATGCATTTAAGGGTTTGAGAGATCTCTCTATCAAATATTAAAAGGCAATTTTAATTTTTAAGATCTCAGTTATAAAAGCCTTTATGGTCAAAAACCTACCCAATTTCAAATTGTGGCACTATCACCTGCAGGCTCTGTGATACATTATTTGCTTCTTCCAACATTTAATTTTCTCATGTGTAATATGGAGATAATATTCACCTTCCTCATGGTGAGCTTTAAGTGAGGTGATTCATTTTAACATGTCTAGGGTATTCTAGGCTTCCCGTAAATGTTACAGTTTTCTTTTTCTTACTTAGCCATTTTGGTGGGGGAGGGTAGAGAAGAGAAGCAGTGAAGAAAAATGGAAAGAGTAGGATTTAAGAAAGATAAAAGTTTTGAATCTGAGTTCTGCTGCTGGGTGACCACGGGCCAGTCATTTAACCTCTCTGATTTTAATTTCTTGTTCTGTGGAAGTGGGTTGTATTATTACCTGTATCACACTCAATGAGCTACAGGATGCAAGAGAGCTCTGCAAAGTCTAAAAGCCTATGTCATTGTAGGTTTTCATCATTGTTATTAACAACAGTTTGATGCCTAACTTAGGAATTGCTGTTTTTCTTTAGATACTCCAATTATAAGAGTCTGACAAATTCCTACCTGTGTGCAGACATACCTTTCCGGATTTTACTCACCTATTTTATTCACCTTGTAACTTTCTTCTTACATGAGAGTGACTCCATTTGAAAACAAAACAAAAGACCAAGAACAAAACAAAACCCAGAACACACAAACATAGTATCCCCTGTCAAGGTCTGAGTTCATCCCAAACCTGGTGAAGATAACAGCTAGACTGTGAGGCTTAATTTGCTTCCAAATTCTTGCTGAATAAGAATCTTAAAAACTTGGTTTGGGAGGAGAGGAGCGATTATGGAGCTTGAACACATTCTTGAAATATTTTTGGGAAGAGAACCAAGGTCCCAGCCACCAGTGGCTAGAAGAGAGAGAGGTAGAGCTTTGAGTTCCTTACCGTGGCATCTTCCCCAGCACAGTGGTTGAGGACTCGGCGCCCACCTGGATGCCTGTTGGCCCAGGCAGTAACATCGTAGACCTTGCGATTGATCACCAGCCACTGGTCTGCCTTCTGATTGTGTTTCTGGATCTCCTGCCAGCTGTATGTGTTGAGGCTTTGCCTGGGCATGTCACAATTGCCATTTGCCTCCTGCTTTACAGAAGCCTCGGCTTTCCCATTTGCTCCTGGTTTCCAGTTTGCCTGATGCTTCTCACCTAGGTAGGGCTGACTCTTTCCTACAAAGCGCTCACTGCCCTCATGTTTTTCTTCAAACTTCATCATCATTGAAGCCCTGGGATTTCTGGGTTGACTCCTGAAATGTCTAATTCTCACCTCCGAGTGGCTTATCAAATGACCCTTTCCTCTCCTTTTCTTCCACTGCAGTATAATGCCCAAACACAAAACCTTGTAGCTTAGTTGTCTCCTCGCAAACCTGGAAGTGTTTATCCAGCCTGTAACTTCTCTGTCTGTCCTGAATCTTTTCTGCCCTGATGGAGGCTGGGCCACCTTTTTTCCTGGGAGGTTAGATGACTTTTCTCTCCTCACTCCTCCTCTCCCTCCTGGCTGATCTCATAGCAGCATCCTCCTTCACCAGTAAACGTCTTTTATTGTAGAGCCGGGGCCAATGGCAGTCAGGGTGAGTTCTGTGGCGTGTCCCAGAGAGGAGGGGCTAGGCTTGGGTCACATGACTTCCCTGATTCACATCATTCTGGTTAGGGTTCACCAGCTCTCTGAGGTGTGTGTGAATGAGGACATCTAGATCAGTTAATTCAACATGTGAGGGTTTTTAAGCTGTTTTTAATACATATTTTCAAAGAAAGGTTTAGGTTTACCAAAAAAGAAAATCACTGATAAACCAGTTTTTCTCTTTTCTCTCCCTTTGAAAGCCGATGAAACCTATCAACATGCCTAAAGATAACAGCAACTGACATTTGCTGGAACACATGATGATTTACACAGCCCCTGTCACATGCTTTATCTGATTTAATTCTCACATCGATCTTTTCAGGGAGGTGCTATTGGTGTCCCATTTTCCAGGTGGGAAAACAGGCTGAAGGCCTCAGGTAAGTGCCAGAGTCATCCTGTCAGTGAGAAGTAAACAGGTGCACGAATTCATATTTTCTGATTCCAAATCCCAAACTCTTTCCACTCTATTCTCCAAACGTAGGGTCTAGTCATATGCGTGTATTACTAATTTGATTCAGTGGTTAGAAAGGAGGCAGAAGAAGAGATTACAGGGTCATTTGGTGGAGGTGGTGGGGGTGGTTCTTAATTTTAAGAAAAGAGGCAGTATGAAATAATAGAAAAATCCCATTCTCACATTTGGGAATTAGTCCCAAGTAAATCATCAGTAACTCAGCCCAAGATTCATGTAGTAACGGTTTTCTTCCAGTGTTATTTTTAATTGTAAAAAATCAGAAATGGCTTACATGTCAAATAATAAGGAAGAAGGCTGATTTATTATGTACATTTTGAATATTATATAACCATTAAAAAGCAGTTGTTATAGCATTTTTAATGGCATGGACTCATGTTTGCAATATAATGTGAAAAAATCTGTCAATAAAATTCTATTTACTGAATAGTATATGATTAGAAGGAAAAATGTTGGTATTAGTTGTCTTTAGATTACAGTACTATTGAAGTGATTTTCTTCTTCATTCTCTATGATATTTTCCAAATATTCTACAAATGTATACATGTTATTATATAATTTAGAAAAAGCAGGGTTATTTAAATAAAATAGAGAAACAAAGAAAGAAAGAAAAAGCATGGATTTTGGAGCTAGGTGGTTCTGGGGTCGTATTTCAGCTCTACCATTTATTAGCTGTAGAACATCATGCAAATTACCTTACTTCTTTGGGCTTTTGTTTTCCTATCTGTACAGTAAAAGAATAAGCACAATTCTCAGGATTACATTAAATGAATGTAAGTGCTTTGGTATTTACAGAAACCCTCAGTAGTTTCTGTATGGGAGTCTCACAAATCCAACATATATACATTTGGTACAATTGGTATGTTAAACATAAGTTCAAGATAGCTCCAGAATTTCAGTGTAAGTGAAGTTTGAGGGCAACACTCTGGTTAGAAATTTATTGGGGCAGGTAAGGGGCTTGTCCAGAAGAGTTGGCACTTTATGTAATCTTGCGATAGTGTCATTTTGCCTTCTCAGACAATACAGACACACTGGTAGAAAGTGCGTGCGTGTGTGTGTGTGTGTGTGTGTGTGTGTGTGTGTGTGTTGAGGAAGATAGCTAAAGACCTTCACATCCTTCCATTGGTATTACCATTGGAAATACTTGGTACATAGCAGGGGCTCTGAAATTGTTAGTTTCCTGTCTGTGCCTGCTTGGACATTAAGCTATAAATATACCTACTCATTCCTTTAAAACATTTGTACTTGTTATATTCTGCAGGAGGGGGGGCTGTTTATAATAATGGAAACATCACAGACTTAGCCACAAATACCTAAGCTGAGTATTCTTGCTCAGATTCTTATTATCTCTGTATGTCAGCTATCTTATTCTATAAAACGAAGTGAACAAAAACTATACTCATAAATTTGCAGAGAGCATTAAATTATATTATATACGACAAGAATCTAGTCTAACACCTAATACCTGGAGTTACTCACTAGATGTACCACACACTATTATTATTATTGTACACATTTCATTTATTGCTCAGGAATGTTGTTACCTGTATCTGATAGTTATTCTCTCAGCTCCCTGGGCCTCATTTCATTTTATTTGTTTTTTAAAGAAATGTTGTCATTTAAATGACCATTGTTCTGTAGGCCCAGGAGCCTGGTCTCCTGATAGTGTGTGATTGGCTGGCCCTGCCATGAGCAGGATTCAAGTGGGGCAGCACGGCCTCATATTTAGACTCATCATGATCACTTACTCTTGGGGTCTCTAAGCTACTGCCTTATCTCATGGAGAGAATGGAGAAATGGCAAGGAAAAGGTAAACATGAACAGCCAAGATGTTTTGTGTTCAACTAGTCAAAGAACAGATGAGAATGGCTACAGGATAGAGCAGGAAATTAAATTCTAAGGTCCAGGAGGGCAGTGAGTTTGCCTGTTTATTTCATCACTCTATTTGTCGAGTCTGGTCTAGGATTAGGTCCTCATGAAATATTTGTTAAATAAGTGAATAAATACATGAATGAACAACCAGGCTGATGGGACCGAGTTTCAGGCTTGCCAGTGACCTTTAGCGATCTCTCAGGTACTTCATGTGTAGAACGAAAGAGTGAAGAGAAGAGACATTTGTCAAGCATTTGCATGCATCCGTCATATTTCCTTCCTTCGTTTAACTTAATTCTCACGATAGAGGTATATGATTAGTGTTATTAGCTCCATTTCTTAGGCAGGGGAAATCAGGTTCAGAGAGAGATTAAATATTGTGCCAGGGATTAGATTGCTCAAAAGTGGTGGGATGGAGATGGCCTCTTAAAAACTTTTTCCTAAAAACCCTCTCATATTCATGGAAAATAAATGCATGCGTTGGTGGTCATGCTTGAAGTAGCTTCAAATGACTAGTTAATTCAGTTTTATTTTAAAACTTCATGGCAATTTTGATTCCTGTTTAGCAATATCCAGTATAGACTCATCTCAATTTTGGAAGATACTGTGGTTTTATGAGACACTTGGCTCATGGTCTCTAGGTTTCATGAAGCTTGCACAATGTCATTTGGCCTCGAGGACTTGGAGGCCACATTTAGAGGTATTTACACACCCTTCCTACATATCCACTGTGGATGTCTGGGTCAAGTGTGTGGTAAATATTGTTGTAACATCATAATTTATTGAAACAGACTCCATCACACAACTGAAGTCCTGATTCTTCTTCTCTCCTATTTCTCGCCTTTTTCTTCTCTCGTTCTTCACCTCACCCTCTCTCTTCTTTTACTCCTTCTCCCTCTTTTCCTCATCCTCCTTTTTTCTCATCCCTCCTCTGGACCTTTCAGCGATTAATACAGTATGTCTCCTTCACCATGTCTCTCCAGGTGAAGAGAAAACCAGCATTGTGTTTCTCAAGACCCCAACGGTACTTCCCCTAAGTGCATGTGTAATATGTCTGTGTGTGTGTGTGTGTTTCACAGTGAAGAAGGAAGATTTAACTGGCCAGAGTAAGCTGCTCTGCAGGCAAAGTCTAGACAGGTCTTTATGTGTAAAGACAGGAATCCACTATGGTGATTCATATGGTATGTGAGAGCTTTTTGAAAATATGTATTAAATTAAATTTACTGGTTATCTTGAATTCAACAATTTTTACCTCATTTTCAGCACCTCTATTATATCAGCCCTGAGCACAGAATTGTAAATTTACTAGTTAAGATACGTTCTCTCCATCTTCTAAATATCATAACGAAAGAACTGACCTTTTATAAGAATTAAGGACGGCAAAATTGAACGTTCTGACAAAGTGGAACGTGAAGGCTGTCTGTGTAAAAGCATTGAATAAATTCCAGGATGGACTTGTGGATGATCAGGGTGAGATTTTGTTGATCGATGATCGTTGCATGTCTTGGCTTTAAAGAGAGATGAAAAGTTATTTTTTCCAGAGAGTTTTCGAAGTCCATAGTTCACAATCATTTAAGAACAAAATCTTAAATGGTTCAATTTTCTCCTCAAATTTTTACTTTTTAAAGTCTGGAACCTACATAAAAATTGCAATAACAGGGAAATGAATACTCCTACACCTATCATCCAATTTCCCCAATTGTCAAAATCTTACCACATTTGCATTAGTTCTTCCACACTGCATGTGTAAGTACATCTCTAACTATGTATCTATCGTCTGTCTGTATATCTATCTATCTATCTATCCATCCATCCATCCATATCTATATCTAATTTCTTTGTACGAGGAATGACTCCTGGATACTTTTTAAATAAATGGACTTTTATCGATTCCTATCACTATTCATCTTGCAAATTTTACCAATCATGGCAAAAGGAAGCCCTTTGAAGCTGACTTCTTGATCTGTTGATATATCCCCGTCAACTTTTGAGCACATCTTTACTTTCTGCCATACAAAGACATACTAGGTTCATTTTTCCTGCCCCAGCCCTGGAACCAGCCACTTGCTTCTTGGTAATAGGAAACTGTATGTAGAAACCAAGCTCTTGGAGTGATCAGAAAGCCTCCAAGAACTTGACTGTGTCTATGTTTCCAGAGAATTCTTTGTGGTCTCAATCCGTCCTGAGAGGGTTACAGTATGTTGCACAAATGATAAAGTTACTTTAGGCCAATAAATGTCCATATAAGGCCAGTAGAGAAAAATGGGACCAATTTATAGCATGGAATCCTCCTACTTCCTTTATTACAATCTCTTTTTTGGCATTTTTTTCTGTAGTAAACAAAGAGAGAAATCCAACGTCAGAGTTGGAAGAGACACCTAGGTTCCTATTGCCTTACAAGAGGAAACTGATGATCAGAGAAGGCAAGCGACTAGCCCTAAGTTATACAGCAAGTGGGTGGGAAATGGGGAAACTGTGCACCTTTCTTAGGGTTGATATGAGAAGAAAATGCATTTAGCTCAATGTA